GGACGCAATAAAACAAAACTCTTTTCTTCAGTAAACGTTGACATTTTCTATACATAAAGAAAATCTTGAAATACTTTATAATTAAAAATTCATATTAAAAATAATTGAAAGAAGTTACTTGAAATGCCATTTGAAGCTGTCGATTTTTTTTATCTCTGTGTCTCAAAAGGCAAGATGAATTGTTTAACGTGACTAAATCTTGATTCCAACACAATATAGAGAATGTTTACACATACAGAGGAATGAACTCTGTGAAAGAATTTGGAATAGAAATTTAAAACAGTTAAAACAATTTTGAAAAAGAGAAGCTAGACATAGGAAATGTGTGAAGATAAATTAAAGTCAAATTACAAACATTCCTTAAAGGGGCCTGGACACAGTTGTATTGTTTACAATGTCTATTTTTATTCAAAAAAATAACTTCAATTTAATGATTTGAATTTAGATGAGAATTCTAAGAATTCAATGACAAGGATATTCTTCATAACATCGCGTCAAACACCTGTGTTTGTAAACAGGGCAGGGGCTCTGTTATTGCTAGTGTTTACTTTTTATAGGGTGTGTTCAATTTGTTTAATTAGTCTGCACACATCACCGAGCACGATCTGACAATACCGGTGAGTGAATTGGTTTTGCTTTCTCGCATTTCTATTCTGAACTTTCTGGATTATAGTTTTCATATTATTCACTAATACACAACAAAATTTCTACTTTTCTTAGGTATTATGGATAAAGTTTATTTTGTGAAAGTGCAAGGATATGTGTCAATCAAACGCGTCCCGAAAATCGTAGTTTTAATAATTTCTAAATAAAAAAAAGTTTCTTAACACACTTTCAATATATTTCGGTGTGAAATGCTCTAGTAATATATGTCATAATATTTAGAAACTTTTCGAAAATATAAGCTTCAAACTATGTATCAGCCCCATTAAAGAGTTGTATAAAAATGGGAAATGATATCCGAAAACCAAAGTCATTAAAAAAATGTCGGTGACATGTTATGCAGCAATTGAGTAGCCTCGTAGATGGTTTCTTATACAGCTCAAAAACGTTTTAATCTATCATGCTTTTTGTGAACCTATTAAGGACTAAAGTCCCTCTGCTCTAAATTTCACATTTTTTAAAACATTGATTTTCATCAAGAGCTATAGTATCAGCTTCAAATGTAAAACAATATGAGGTATGAAGCGCTGCTTATTTTTTTTCAGAAATGATTGTTATGTTGGATCATGATATGAAGAAATCTTAACAAAGAGGATAGAAAGACTAAAGATTTATTATCACAACCTAAAATTAACAAGCTAATTCAGAGAATTTGTGTGTGTAGGGAAAAAAGAAGAGCATGAGCAGTTGGGGGGGGGGGGGGGGTCACACTGCCCCCTGTATTTGTAGAATTATTAAATGTATACATGTATATTGAAGCAAATTTAAACAAAAAAGCCAAAATGGATATAAGGATTTGTTTGCTTATTCTTTAACAGGTGTATAGAAGATTCTTTTTAATATACTATATACAGAATATTTATCACACTGTAATAATGATTTTATGAGTTTGTACTCGCCAGACATCATCACTTTTTCATTTCACATGTTGAATAGTATCATTTAGTAAATCCAAAAAAAAAACATAAAAAAAAATTGGATTGTTCGGGACTTGAACCCGTGCCTCTCGCTTGGTAAGCGAGCGAGCAACATACCGCTAGACCACGGAGGCACTTGATTATACGTAAAATTAAAGCAAACACTACGTCACATATAATGTTATATTCAAGTTTGATATTGTCAAAATTTTACACAACAAATGTTGTGTAATTTAGCCTTTACTAAACAGTTCTAATAGCTGTAATTAGAATATAAAGTCCGCCGACAACCTGTATTATACGTAAAAACTCTCGACATGCCCATGTGCTAAAAATAGTGCCAAGCGACTTTTAATACAATAAATAAATTAAAAACAAAAGGGGCGGGACACTTTGAGAGGGGCAAGAGAGGCCATAATTTAGCCTTTACTAAACAGTTCTGATAAATGTAATAAGAATATTATGTCCGCCGACAACCTGTATTATACGTAATAACTCTCCACAAGCCCCTGTGATAAAAATAGTGCCATGCGACTTTTAATACAGTACATGTAAATAATAATTAAAAAACGGGGCGGGACACTTTAAGAGGGATGAGAGAGGCCCTAGGGAGTATAAATTTTCATTGCAAAAGCTCAAAAGCTTTTTGAGATATCTCCCGGAAACAAAAGTGTTACACGCAGACGGAATGTATGAATTTACGACCTTGAACTTTGACCGTTTGACCTCAAAATCAATAGAGATATCGCGCGGAAACGAAAGCGTTACAGACAGACAGAAATACAGACGGACGTAAGGACGGACGTAAGGACGGACAGACAGACCCAAATTAATATCCCCCACTTTCAGTGAAATCGGGGGACAAAAAGAATACATCTCTTTGCAAGAGTTATCTTTCTTATAATTTTTTTTTTCATTGGAAAAAAATGTAATACTAATAAAAATTCTGCATTTGGTACTTGAAACATTAAACCATTTTTAAAATGGTCCTTAAAAAGATAGAACTTATTTAATTTATAAGGCTTTTATTACGGAATTTGAATGATTTCTTGTTAAATATAATAAAAGAATTTGAAAAGTATAGACAAAGGAAATATAAGGTAATGTTTCCATCGTATGTCAAGTTTGATCGACTTAACTACTCCACGGTCTCGATACTGAAACTCTGATTATGAAAACTATGAGTTGTGTTCGTATTTTTTACTTGGAAAGTTATCTCTCTTATCAGAGGGTCGGTACCCCTTAAATTCACATTTTGGAAGTAAAAATATTGCTACTAAGCAATGCCGGAAAGAAAAGATATAATGAATTTTTTTTTGCAATTTTAGTAAAGAATTTATATCTTTGATTGATAATTTACTTTAAAGTAGTTAGTTGCTCCAATTTTTGCACTAGAAACAGCCTAATAGATATTAAGGTTGTAATAATCTAGGTTTTTACAGCAGGAATTTTGAACTGAATACCATATACACTGAAGTATCTTCCACAAGTCTTTTTCTTAGCCTTTGACATGCTTTTTTCATATTCCTTATATTCCACCCTAAAATTTCATTGAATTGGTTTAGATTGAGTTTCAATTGGGATCGTTTCCAGGCCGCGTTAATATTGAAAATGATTTGGGTCTGAGAAACTCCCTTGTGCATATCAGAAGAGACTGAAAAATTTCAGGAGCATATGTATACTTGTAAAGAAAACAATTTGTATGTACATGTATAAAACAGCATCATTTAGTAGCACCAACTCTCAAAGCACAAGGGAAGTTCTCAAAAGGAGTGTAGTTTCTATCAAGAACTTTCCTCAATTCCAAGAAAAGGTTCTGTGAAAACTTTTATTTCATAACATTCATGATTGCATTAAGATTGTTATTCGTGCAAAAAGTGTAGCAGGTAAATACCACAAAGTAAATTATCAACTAGGAATATTAAAAAAATATATATGCAAATAAAATTGCAAAATTCTTCATATTCTTTTGGGTGCGCCATTGTTTAGTAGTAATATCTTTACTTTAAAAATGTGCATTTAATTCGTTCACAACAAAAGCAATTTAGGTTTAAAAGTTTTTTAAGCTATGTATTATTGTCCCCCGCTTTCTCTGAAAGTGGGGGATATTAATTTGGGTCTGTCTGCCCATCCGTCCGTCCGTCTGTAATTCTGTCTGTTTGTAACACTTTCGTTTCCGCGCGATATCTCGAGAACCCTTTGAGCTTTCGCAATGAAATTTTACATAACAACTCCCTGTGGCCTAAGGAAGAACCCTATTTATTTTGAGGTCAAGGTCAAGGTCATCAATTCATAAATTCTGTCTGTTTTAACACTTTCGTTTCCGCGCGATATCTCGCGAATTCTTTAAGCTTTCGAATGAAATTTTACATAACAACTCCCTGTGGCCTAAGGAAGACCTCTATTTATTTTGAGGTCAAAAGGTCAAAGTTCAAGGTCGTAAATTCACAAATTCCGTCTGTGTGTAACACCTTCGTTTCCGGGTGATATCTCAAAAAGCTTTTGAGCTTTTGCAAAGAAATTCTATACCATAACTCTCTATGGCATCTCTCGCCCGCCCCTCTCAAAGTGTCCCGCCCCGTTTTTTTTTTTTATTTATTGTATATTAAAAGTCGCTTGGCACTATTTTTAGCACAGGGGCATGTGGAGACTTATTACGTATAATACAGGTTGTCGGCCGACTTTATATTCTAATTACATCTATTAGAACTGTTTAGTAAAGGCTAAATTAGACAATATGTATTGTGTAAAATTTTGACAATATCGAACGTGAATATAAACATTATATGTGACTTAATGTTTGCATTTAATCAGACTTAACTCAACATGAGTTAAGTCATATTATGGAAATGAGTAGATCAACTTCTTTTTAATAGTCAAAGAAGCATAACTCTTACAACATTATCATTACTGACTTTTGACACTACCCTTTTGAAATAATTTGCTGTATAATCAAGTGCCTCCGTGGTCTAGGGGTAAGATGCTTGCTTACCAAGCGAGAGGCCCGGGATCAAGTCCCGAACAATCCAATTTTTTTTAATGTTCTTTTTTGTATTTACTAAATGATACTATTCAACATGTGAAATGAAAAAGTTATGACGTCTGGCGTGTACAAACTCATAAGATCATTATTACAGTGTGATAAATATTCTATATATTAAAAAGAATCTTCTATACACATATTAAAGAATGAGCAATCAAATCTTTATATTCATATTGGCATTTTTTATTTGCTTCAATATACATGTATACATTTAATAATTCTACAAATCCAGAAGGGGGGTCCGACCCCCCCCCCCCCCCGAACTGCGCATGCTCTTCTTTTTTCCCTAAGCGGAGGACACAAATTCTCTGAATTAGCTTGTTTTTGTTATGGTCTGGTATGTAATATTATGAAAAATATATATGATCAGAAATTACCCCAAATATCCTAGATTCCTACATGCAACACCAGCGTCAGTTCTGTCCCAAGAAGATGAACAAACACGTCGCCATCGGTTATTTACCGGAACCTCTACTAGTCCCTCATCGGGAGAACTACCATTTACAATTCTAGCTTTATCTGTAATATAAATGAAATATGTAGAACTATGAAACATGAAAGAAGAATGAGAAATAAACGAACTGTAACCCACCATTTTCTATATTGTAACAAATGACGTCGACCTCTCTACTGTTAGTACAGTTAAAGTTGCTGGATTCAATGATTGAATGCGAACATAAAAGCAAGGAATCTTCATTTCCGTTACAAGCAATTTGGTTCAACCATACTTGTCCATTGCCTTTTCCAAATAGATCCGATGATATAGGAAACCCCCTAAAAATTATTACATGGAGAGAAAGATTCAAATTCAAGTAATTTTACATGCCTTATTAAATTCAATGCACTGTCACAACTTTTTAATTAATTGGAATTATAATAAATGAAAGGATTGTACATTTTAGAAGGAAGGTAAAATTTACTGAAGATTTAATATAATTCACCCTGAATTGCCCAGACTTCTACAAGTCACATCAGCGTATTTTTTTTCATATGATGATGATGATGGTGATATACAAACACTTCTCCACTGACCATCTATCGATACTTCAACTCGACCTTCATGTTCAGAACTACCATTAACCAATCTAACAACATCTAGATGACCAAAGAATAATGGTATTACTCAAACATGTAAGATAAACATCAAATATTAAAAATGTATGAATTACAAAATGCATCGTTACCCACCGTTTCCTGTATTATAACAGACAACTGCGGCATTTCTACTATCACCACAGCTGCTGGATCCCACAACTGATTGTGGACACTCTAACAAGGAATTTTCATGTCCTCCACAATTAATGCCGTCTAACCATATTTTTGCATTTCCCTTTCCAAACACGGATGAAATGATAGCTACACCTCTAAAAGTGTATGTTTATAACGCTTTAATTTAAATATAAAAACATGAAAGCATAAAAACAAATATTTTAGTTTTGAAAAAAAAGTGTTAACTATCCTAACTGTCCTTTATTTAATTCATTTCAAACTATTTTCATTTACATTAAAATATTCTCGAAAAAAGTAATAACTTTCAATATTCGACGTTATTCAATAATTCTCTATGTGTTTGATTTTATGCATCTCTTGCTATAAAATCAAACAAATGTGAAACTGATTAAGAATATCAACAACAAGTCTTATCTATTAAACTTGTAACAGTGATCTTGGCTTTGTTTGATTTATTGAATTAAAAAATACCCAGAGTATCCTAGAGATCGACAGGCAACTTTAGCATTTTGATTATCCCAATCTGTATCACACACAGCTCCCCATACACCATTGACCGACACCTCAAAAAAGCCCTCGTTTGCAGATTTTCCGTTTCGCAATCTCATGAATTCTATTGAATGATTTGAATGAAAATTTTTCTAAGTATTCGTCTCTTATATCAGTTAGTTTTTTGTTGTTTTTTTTAAGCCTTTACAATACGCTTAAAGTATAAAAAGAATTTACTCACGACTTGGTAGAATACATATAGCACCAGCATCTTCGGAGTGACTACAGCTATTTGTTTCCGAATTTGCACAGTCAGACAGACCAGTTTCTTTTCCGCTACATTGTACGTCATTTAAATGAATTGTGCCTGTTCCTCCTCCAAATACGGTTTTTGAAACAACTAGCCCTCGTCTAACAAAAAGATTTCATGAGGACAATTGCTTTAATTGATAAACGTTAAAGTTTGTAAAGAATAAATGACCAGGAATTTGATATTCGAATTACTATTTACTTTAACTATTTGCAAAATTTTGTAGAATTTCATTTATATGATAATTATGTAATAATAGTTATCTTTTTTTTAAAGATCCATACTGAAGGTACGCTACCAAATATATAGCAGCAATATACCACAGTTAATAGCAGTTTCCAGTTGGACATACTTCAATACATTGAAAATGATATTTTTAGAAAATAATTTAATACATTGAATTATCACCAATAGAATTTGTTTTGACATTTTATAATTTAAAACAATTTAATAACTAGAAAGTATGAAAAATAAATCTTAATTGTTTTGGAGCATATACATTGTACATGTATATCTCTCAAAGTTCGTATCATTAATAAAAGCTTGTAAAATAAATAGCACATGAATATAAAGTTGACATTTCGTTTGCATTTTTAAGAAAATGCGATTGTTAATGAAATATAACATTTTTTTCCAAAATAAATGTTTTAATTCGGTTTTACAAAAACTTTCCACTTTCACTTTGGCAAGAAACCTTGTATTGTAATACAATGAGTTTTTCAAGTAGGTTTAGTTAACTATGGTTTTTTTTTTTTTTTAAAGTAAACTGTGGTCATTTGCAAAGGGAGTGGATATTTATCATTTGCTGGGAGAATGTTTGTGGGCAATTATGATTTATTCCTTAATTTGGAGGGTAAAAAAGAAGTTCTTATCAGCTGATAGTGTTCTTGATACATGTAATGTTTTTTCGTAAGCAAGGGTGACCTACGAAGATGAAGATCATTTCATTTGTATATCACATCAATTAATATAATGCCTTAACGTATTTATTGGACAGCTGTTGACTTCTTTTGTGAATACTTTCTTATTAGTTACCTCTTATGGAATACAGAGCATCAAGAGGAGACTAGATTCTCCATTAAATGTAGACGACAAGTTTTAAATTTTTAGTTATTTAAACTTACTCGCTATAACCTAGTGATCTACAAATGACGCTAGCGTCCTTGTAATCCCAGTTTCTGTCACATATTGTCCCCCATCTATTGTTCTTATAAACTTCCACTCTTCCTTGAAAGTCTTTTTGTTTCGAAAGTCGAACAGGGGGAGCTGCAAATATGAAACGAATCAAATGGGTAAGAAATTACAGGGGAAAATATGGAAACTTATTTAGGACCTTTCAAAAATTTGACAGAATCCGATATACCAATTTGTCGAATTTGTTATAACGAATTAAATTAGTTATAACAATTTTTGATAGTGAATTAAGTTGTTTATAACAAATTTCTTATAAATGTTATAACAATTTCAAAAAAAATGTTATAATAGATTAAATTCGTATAAACGAATTCCAAAATTTGTTATAACAAATTAAATTCATTTTAAAACGTTTTAAAATTTTTATAACGAATTGAATTCGTTTAATTCATTAAATTCAACAATTACGGTCTGTAGTTAATTGTATACGAATTCGATCAGACAAATTGTCAAATTTGTGAAAACGAATATAATTCCTTATACGTACTTAATTGGTTGATTGATTGAATGTTGTTTTACGTCACATTCGAGAATTTTCACGTATATGAATACCATACAACGGTGAAGGGCTTCAATTAAAAAATAAATAACAAGTATAAAAACTTTTCTGGGAAATGAAGTGGGTCGGTCACGTGATCAAATCCTGTGAAGGCCGAAGGCCTTCTCAGGAAATCTTATCACGTACCGACCCACTTCAATTCCCAGTGAAGTTTTTAAACTTGTAATTTACTACTTAATATATATACATTTGAGCCGGACAATCGAATATAAATATTGCACTAACTGTTCGATTTTGACAAATTACGCAAGGTGTAAATCGGCTTGAAAAGCGGTTACGCTTCAGATTCATCCGGCAAATAAATCTGTTTTGAAGGGAATATTCTATGAAAGGCTACTTGTGATCAATTATAGTGACCATATTGGTGTCTGGGAATTTTTGTATTCATGAGAACCGTCCCATATTCTATGTTAAAAAAACACAAGAAACACGTCCGATGTTTATTAATTAAATGTTGGAGGAATTTCGGTCGGAAAGGGATGGATGGAGACACTTGTCAGAACCAGTTAACTTGAAATCAGGTATAAAATTGGATCAGAAACATAAAATCTACGATTTCAGTAAGGCATATTTATTATGATGTTGACGCGGAGACACTGGAGACACTGGCGACAGCTTAGGACAACGATCTCGAAGATGGAGGTGTGCCTACTGAACTTCCGAAGTTAAGTGTTTGTCAGCTGTTTGTGGCGTAATTGCATTACATTGATATTTTCCAACAGATTTTCAAATTTATTGTGAGTAAAGTTTAATGGGGAAAAAAATAGCATTCAGAGGTCTACAAGAAAAATAAGGGTAATCGTTGAGACTGCAGCTCAGACATGAAACGTAGTTTTCTATTCTCTATGTAAAATCAATCAAGAACTGTGTTAAATAATCGTTTACATTGTTAATAAAATTATTATTATTTTACTTGCGTATTTTGTACATTTTTATACACGAAAAACATGCTATATTGCTAAGTAGAGTAAGTCTGCGCTGTGTGATTAGGTCACGTAATGACCTATGACGTTCGAAAAACTTCATACAGGTATGAAGATATTTGCTCTCTGTATGTTTATATAACAGAGAGATACCACAAATGTATATATATTTAGACCTTTACTCGGCACTCAGGGTCATTGAGCAGGAGCTTTATTGTGCCAACGCCTACCGTGACATGGGGCCTCGGTTTTTATAAGGTCTCATCCGAAAGACCCGCAACTTTCACTTCAAAGTGCCGATCGCTTGGCAAAGGAACAGTTGCTACCTTTAATTTATCGACTAAGGCCAGTCTCGGCCGAGATTCGAAATCACGACTTTCCGATCACGGAGCGAGCGCTCTACCGACTGAGCTACCCTGACAGCTACATGTATAATAAATTGAAGAATTCGTTTTCACGAATTTAATTCGTTATAACAAGTTTTAGAATTTGTTAAAATGAGTTGAACTCATTATAACAAATTTGATTTGTTAGAAAGAATTCAAAGAAATTGATATATTGAATTTTATTCATTTAACAATATGGTATTTTTATTCAAGCCACAGAACTAATAAATGAAAAGGTTACTCTTGTTTCAATGTGAACAAATGTTTTTATATTTATGCTCCTGGACTAAACTTTAAAATAATAATAATTATTATTGTTATTATTGTATTGTTATTGTTATTATTATTATTATTATTACTATTATTACTACTACTACTACTACTACTACTACTACTTCTACTACAATTTACCTGCTTAAAATTCAAACATACAAGTAACAATAAAAAAATGAATGAAATCATATTTTCTGAGTTTTGAAAGAAATCATTTCGTTTTTACTTTTAAGGCTAAACTTATCAGTGCATTATAGATAAAATAAAGAATATTTAAGAAAGAAGGTATCATTTTGAAAGTTTTATCGGGATGTAAATATAGGTTGGTCATGTGATCAAATCCCATAAATCCCAAAGGGCTTTATGGTAGATTTGATCACATGCCAACCCGTATTTACATCCCGATAAAAGTTTTAAAATGATACCTTATTACTTATATTTACATTTGTGACTGATTCATTATAAATAGTAAGGTGCTAAAGTTTTACACCCATAAATGATTTATTTTTTTTTCAAGACTCAACGGTATAAATTGAATATGTTGAACACGTCGATTACTTATGACGTCACTATGAAGTTATGTAGATCATTCATGACTAAACAATCAATTTATGGTCACATGACGAACTGGATTTACACAGGTGTAAAAATAGTGTTATATAATTATAAGGAAAACATTTGCAAATGTAAATATATATGGATAGCTCTCAGGGAGGTCGTTAGGGACATAAAGCTGCATGTGTATAATCACTTTTTTTTAATTTTACATTAATGATTACAAAATCAATAACTATTCTTGTTATAAGATTCCCAGATACAAATTCTTTATTCCCTGTAAGATATAAATTTCTTGACGATACCTTTCATACACATAACACCTGCATCTTCACTATGACTGCAGCCAAGATTTAATTCATTTGTATGTCTGCAATCCTGTAGAGAACTCTCTGTACCACTGCATCTCACATTAGCCATAAGTATTGAACCCGTTCCAGGTCCAAAGTATGCATTACTATATGGAATTCTGTTTTGAAACCATTGCTACATGTATATTTGCACTTCTATACGTTATTCTGTTTATAAATGTTTTATCTATAATTATGTATATGCATTAACATGAAAAAAACATTAGTTTTATAGTAGTTGAATTATGTTTATCTTGATATTGTAAAAATCATTTATAATGCAATATACTTGAATATAATTATCACTAATGCGTTGTGGCAACATACTTTGAAAAAGAATCAACTCACTTTGATTTTTCTTTTCAAAGTGCGTTGAATTTAGGGCAAAAGCAACCCACTTTGAAAACATCGACATTTTTACCACTTTGAAAATATTATGTATAAAACAAAAATTCTGGACTTAGATTTTCGTAATAGGCGGCATTATTTTCTTTATAGGCCTATTTCTTTCGAAAAACTGATGTTTCATATAGTATGTTCACAATTATTAGATAGATGAATATGATAGATTGTTAAACAGATAGAACAGAGAGAGAGAGAGTGTGTGTGTGTGTGTGTGTGTCCATGGTATGAAAAATCATAATAGCTCCCTTTTCTCTAAGAAAAATGCGATGCTTTAACTTATCACAAACTGGATAAAATAAAATTAAAATACGAAATTGTGCAATTTAACAATCATTCCTCCATTATTTTTCCGTTGTTTCCCGGTCGTGGCAAGGAGCACACGGCGGATTTGACCGGTCGGCAGGGGATGCTCACTCCTCCATCGCACCTGATCCCACCTCTGATGTTTAGAGGTCCGTTTGCTCTGCTCCTGTTTTCTATTCTTTAATGGACTTTTGAGCTTGAATACTGTTCGTTATCTCCATATATTTCATTGTAAAAGATCCATCTCCCTTTTTATAACATTTACGAGAACCTTTAGGGAACAAGACTACAACTAAAAATCTTTAAAACGTCTACATTGTATATTCCAGATCCTCATCACCGAAAGAATTATCCAATCAGGTTCAAATTAATTATTTATCATACCAAGTTGCAAGAATATTGATCAGGCTGTACACATTAATTTCAAAGTGCGTTAATATGGTCGATATGAGCACACTTTTATTTTTTAAAGTACGTTAACTTGGTCCCAAATTTAACGCACTTGTTGTAACAATGCATGTATGATAATCTGCCATTTCTTTTACTAAATATAGAATGAAAGTTGTGTGTTCTGGTGATTTTTAGTACTAGTACTCTTTTTCAGTCTTCCTTGATTAAATTCTACTTGCTTTCACATTTCACGGTATTAAAAAGTTTAAAATATTAAAGTGGTTGGGGGTATGATTTGAAAAAAAAAACTTGAATCAACACTTCCTAAGGATGCATTTGAATTAATATGACAGATAATGACTTTGCTGTTCTTAAGATGAACATTTTTATTGATATGTCCTTTAGATTCCTTTAGATAACTCTGAGCCCCTGTTATGACCCCTTTGTTTTCCTGGGGGTCATGATTTGAAAAAATTAAAACTACATTATCTGAGGATGCTCTTATATTGTTATGACCAATAATGGCCTTGTTGTTCTTGTGAAGAATTTTAAGATTTTTCCAATGTATTCCAGTGTAAAACTTTGATCACCCATTGTGCCCCACCTTACCCCCGGGAGTCATGATTTGAACAAACTTGAACCTACACTACCTGAGAATGCTTCTATATAAATAGGTCTTACGATAGCTTTGCTGTTCTTGAGAAGAAGATTTTAAAAGGTTTTCACTATGTATTTATATGTAAAACTTTGATCGCCAAATGTGGCTAAACCCTACTGAAGGGGTCATGATTTGAACAAACTTGAATCTACACTACCTGAGAATGCTTCCATATAAATGTGACAAATCATGGTTTACATGGACAACGACGACGACAGACAACGGACAAATTTTGAACAGGAAAGCTCACTTGAGCCTTCGGCTCAAGTGAGCTAAAAAGTGAGTGTTCTGTAGGGGAGGAAATCGTTGTTTCTTTCCGCATATTGGACTTTTTATTCTCTCAGTTATGTTAGCGTCTGGACGAATCAGATAACGACTTTAAAAATTATCATAATTAGGTATAATAGAAAAGTTTCAATCTATCAACCGGAATGCTTATATTGTTTTGAATTTTAAGAGGAAATGATAAAGCTCTGGGATATGATACATACGAGTATAGCACTAAATCCTTTTTTTCGTCTGTAAAATCTTGCATAATCAATTCATAATTTAAATGCAAAAACATTGCAAAAAAATTAAGAACACGTTACAAACAAACATTTGGATGCATGAATTGGTATTTATTTTTTTTTTTACTGATTTCGTTTTAAATGAAGTAGGAATCAAAAAAAAAAAAAAAAAAATAAGAAGAAATTGTAATTTTTCAAATTTCTTCCTTATTGCCTTCATCCTTATACTAAAATCTATACAATTTAATATTACTTTATAGAATATTATTGAGAAACATTTCCGGCGGTCAGTTATTTATATTACATATACTAATAAAGACATATAATTATTTAATTTTTAATTATTTTCATTCTTTTTTCATTTGTAGCATATGTCCTTAAACGTTATGTGACAGTTGAAAGGAAAAATTATGGAATATTTATAAATAAACATTGATATATAATTTTAAGAAAGAAAATAAGCACTTACCCAACTAATCCGAATAGTTGTGTACAGACGACATTGGCATCATAAAGATCCCAACCATCGTCACAAACAGTTCCCCATACTCCATTCTTGTATACCTCCACCCTTCCTTCTCTTGAAGAATTTCCATTTACAAGTCGAATTTCTATGAATAAATAAATACCTTAGATTTTCGTATATCAGATATCTGGACGTTTCACCTCCCCGACATTTTCTTTTGGGAGGGAACCACGACATAGAATTTCCAATTATTCAAATATTTCAGTTAGACCTTTGTACATTTTCTTGAAAATATGTGAATAATGAAGAAAAGAAACAAAATGTTGGCATTTTAATATTGATCATCATTATAAAATTAAACCTCTCCATGAACAAGGATTAGAATTCTTGTGTAAAACTTTGATCCCCTATTGTATCCACACACTACCTCTGGGGACATGATGTGAACAATTTCAAACTACGCTTCGTAGGAAAGTTATAACAATTCTGTCTCAGTTTTAGACAAGATTTTTTTCCTTCAAATTCCATTTTGATGTTTATATTTCTGCCACACACTAGTCCGGGGGTCATGTTTTGAACAAGTTAGAATCTTCACGATGTCAGGAAGCTTTCGTTTAAGTTTTAAATTTACTGTTTCAATGCTTCTTGAGAAGATTTTTAAAGACTCTTTCCTATGTATTCCAATGCACAACCTTGATTCCTTATTGTGCTTCCCTACCCCGGTCCGGGAACCATAATTTGAACAAATAAGAATCTACAATACCTTTAATATTTTTATTAGGTTTCACTTTCTTTTCTGTCCCAAAGTACATGTGATTTAGACGAAGACGAAGAATTTTTTCAATAACTCTACCATATTTTGGCATTTTCTTGATTATTCACCTTGTATAAAGAGCAGATCCTTAGTTTGTATAATTTAGAAAATTTAGAATTCCTTTTACCCAAGGATGCTTTGTGTCAACTTTAGTCAAAATCGGCCGGGTGGTGTTTAAGAAGAACGTGAAAATGTGAAAAGAATACTGAAAAGAATACTGACGGATGTACAGACATAGATTGTCTTTAGTTCAACAACAGATCACTATCTGAGATGCTTTTGTGAACACACATTTCAAGATATGATTATAAGCACATTCTCAGCGATATTGGTCTAAAAACAAGCTAGGGGATCTGAATCCTTTGACATAATACCAACTGCCTTATCTTTCTTTACACTAGAGAGAAATATCCTATAACGCCATGAAATATGCCTAAGCTCTAGACACATGACATCTTAAAGATTCAGCTCGTAAATCTGCCACTCATCTGTATTTCCTATGCATATTTGTAAGAGGATCTTTTCAATATGTAGAAACATTTAATTTTAAAAAAAAATATCTGAATCAGAAAGATTTCCTATAGCAGAATGGCAGAGATATGGTTCCCTTCTTTTATGGTCATCAGTCTCCTGCTAGATAAACATATAGTTCATGTACATCAGGTACATGTAGTTTAATTACTAATTTCATCTTTGCGGCTAAAGATGAATTTCTCTAGAAGCAGCTGTGACTCATTAATCCTCATGAGAAATGACTTAATACCGAAGCCTTATATGTGGTTGTGTGCATGTTTCATTATTAATGCTTATGCTATAATTGATTTAAAAATAAGAATTAACTACTACATGTACATGTAGTAGGATTTAACATGCATTAATTTTAGAGCAGTGACTAATTTCCTTTTTAAATACAAACATTCTCAAAATGTTGAAAATCTAGAAGCTGTTGTGTATCTATAAGTCGATGTATACAGCCTGGTGAAAGCATTTTACACAGACAAACAAGCAGGTAGGTTTTTAAAGATATATATATATATTACCGTTTAATCATATTTGAACATTACTTAATGGGTCAAATACTTACTCGGTTTTGCACTCCCTGCTTCAACTTGTTTCTGCAAACTCTCGATTAAATGCTGTTGTTTTAGAATTTGTTGTTTCATCAACTTCATTTCCGTGTTGTGGGCTCTAACCATCTCACTCAGTTCTCTTACTGAGAGAGTACTTATAGAGATAGTACTCTGATTTTCAACTGCCACAATTGAGAGTACAAACACCAGTAGTTTACATATATCCATGATGCTGAAAACATAATGGAAATATTAACAGATTTTTTCTTGTCTTCACTGCTGGCGAGGACAAGTACAACAAGAGGCCCAATGGGCCACATCGCTCATCTGAGCACTGTGGCTAGGAAAAAAGCAAAAATCAGTTTTGTATTGAAAAGCTTTAATGCATAAGTGGTCCCGACCTACGCCTAAAAGGGAAAGGGGGATATGATTTGAACAAAATTGAATCTACACTAACTAAGAATGCTTACATATTTTTTTAACTAACTGTGACTTTTTTCCTACAAGTTTGAACTTTCATTGTGGCCTCACCCTACCCCTGGGGGTCATGATTTGAACAAACTTGAATCTACACTATCTGAGGATGCTCAATATAAACATGACCAACCATAGCTTTGCTGTTCTTGAGAAGAAATTTTTTAAAGATTTTTCCCATATACTCCTATGTAAAATTCTGATCGTCCATTGTGGCCCTACCCTACCCCCAGGGTCATGATTTGAACAAACTTGAATCTACACTACCTGAGAATGCTTCCATATAAATATGATTAATCATAGCTTTGCTATTCTTGAGAAGAAGATTTATAAATATTTTCTTATATATTCCTATGTAAAATTTTGATCGCCCACTGTGGCCCCACCCTACCTCCGGGGGTCATGATTTGAACAAACTTGAATCTACACTACCTGAGGATGCTTCCAGATAAGTTTTATATTTTTCTAGCACAGTGGGTCTTGAGAAGAAGATTTTTAAAAGATGCCATAAATTTTTCACGATTTCGCAATTATCTCCTCTTGAAAGAGGGCGTGGCCCTTCATTTGAACAAACTTGAATCCCCTTCACCCAAGGATACTTTGTGGCACGTTTGGTTGAAATTGGCCGAATAGATCTGGAGAAGAAGATGAAAATGTTAAAAAATTACGACAACGACGCCAACAACGATAACGACGACGACAGACAACGGACAAAGGATGATGTGACATACGGCCCCCGGTAAATTGACAAAAAATTAAATATATAAATTTTACTCTAATTTTTGCATGCACTTAATCACTGACATATTTACCCTCATAAAATACTACTTCTACCGAAAATAGAAACATAATTTGGAAGATATATGTCTGTATTTTGAGTAGGGGTACCATGTTTACATCCAATTCCCATTGGATTTTGGCCACTCTTTGAAGCCCTTAAAATATACGAGCGCAAGTAGGTACATTTTTCTCCTTTGGCTGGTCACTGTATTTTATTGAAATCTACCTATATGTGAAAGAAGAAAAATGTACCTAACTGCGCTCACATGTTGTTTTTAAAAAATTGTAAAATCTAGCCGGCCTTTCCCATTATGACCAGATCGTCGAAACCATTTTTTCTGACGTAAGAATAAATTCATATGCTAATCGAGGCTCTGGCGATACTTTCTAACTGACCAATCAGCTAAATGAGTTGCATTACTAGTGAGTACCACAAAAATACTAAGGACATTTTATGCTTGGAAAAAAGGTTGTATTTTTTTACCTGCTTTCCGATAAACAATTTTTTATGCATTTGAGTCACAAATTAGACACATATCTACACTTTCCCAGCTCACATTAACAAACAATTGATTTATAAATATACATAGTTCAAAGTTTGTAAAGCGTTTGATGGGCAATTCGCTAGGTCTACATGTATTCCCGAGAATCAGTGAATAGACGTTTCTTGTGCATTTCTTGACCAAAAACGGTAAACGCTGAGGTTCCATGCGTATTATTTTGTTTTTGTATAACTAGTCTTGGCTGACCATTAAAAGTTTGAAATGTAGTAGAGATATTGTGTGAGTTGGCCTAAACCACGTGCCTGTGATGAAAAATAAACATGTAGTAAACCAGCATGTTTTGTCGTTCTGTCATAGGATTGGACAATTGTTCTCGGTAAGCGACTATGTGCGAAAAAATAACAATAGCCATATAAGGTAGATTCCTCGGACATGCATATCCCTCTATTGTACTAAGACCCGCCTATTCTCTTTTCATAAAAGAACATATTGTCACAAACCAGGCCGAATTTTGCTGTCATAGGGTCTAAAAAATCATAGATAATGCAGTAATCCTTATAATTAAAAATGTGTCGGAACTATCTAAACTATTCAAAAGGCGTTGTATTTATTCACTCATGTCTGAAAACTATCAAAATCGTTGTAGATTAAATATAATTCGTCGTAGAAAAAGGGGCCCCAGATAGCAGTTATGTCACATCATCCTTTTGATCAGAAAAAGCTCACTTGAGCCTTTGGCTCAGGTGATCTAAAAATTAGGTACTGATACCACACTATGACTCCCTGTTCCACAAATACTGTAGATACTAGAAAAAAAAACTGATTCGATAAAATTAACTTTAGATTACATGACTCATTTTTCTCCTGGAAAATCCACTACTTTCCTTAAAAAAAAACTTTTTTGGTTTCAAGAATTTTGACTCGTAAATCATTTTTTTATCAAGTAAGCTTCATAATGGATACTCTAAATTTCCTATTAAAACTTTTTTTTTTCCCCTATCATTAAAAAACACTTAAAATGTTATTAGATGTATCATATCAATGCCAGCCATACATTAAATTTTTATTAGTCCCCTACCGGTGAAACCAGAGGGAACTATAGGTTTCCTCTGAGTCTGTCCGTCCGTCTGTCCGTCTGTCTAGATGTCCCTCTGTCTAGCTGTCCCTCTGTCTGTCAGTCTGTCCCACTTGGTTTTCCGCACTTTTTTCCTAAACGCTTGCAGATACTGAGCTGATTTTTGGTATGTGAGTGTATCTTGATGAGTTAAACCCCTGTCACACCGGGACTGCGTCCTCGCGGCGATCGCACGGCGTCCATAAAAAATGCAAAACGCCTTGGTGAGCTCAGTAGAGTCTCCTACAGCGCCGTGACAACGCGGCTAGATCTCCACTGAACGCGGTAGGGTCGCGTAGGGTCTCCTAGAGCGCCAGGGAACGGCGCGCACTTTGGGCATGCACAAAGTACGCGCCGTGTGATCGCGGTCAGAAGTCTCTGATGAGACTGTAGCTCTACTGGTCTTTACGTATAACAAAGGAAAAGTACGACTTGGATTTGAATCTTTGCAACATGTAACAATAAATAGAATTATGTATCTTAGTTTAGTCTACTTCTGCGCCAAGTTATATTGAAATCAGAGCAAAATTGTAAAAGGAGTCGCGTTTTAAAGGAATTTCACAGAAATTTCTATTTTTAGTAACCATGACAACGCCGTTCATTGAAATCAAAAACAGATGCGCTAGATTATGAACCATTGTACAGTCTACTTGTGTGCCAAGTTACATTGAAATCAGATCAAAACTGTAGAAGGAGTAGCGTTTTAAAGGAATTTCACAGAAATTTCTATTTTTAGTAACCATGGCAACACCGTTCATTGAAATCAAAAACAGACGCACTAAATTATGTTCTACTGTACAGTCTACTTGTGTGCCAAGTTATATTGAAATCAGACCAAAACTGTAGGAGAAGTAGCGTTTTAAAGGAATTTCACAGAAATTTCTATTTTTAGTAACCACGACAACACCGTTCATTGAAATCAAAAACAGATGCTCTAAATTATGTATCTTAGTGTAGTCTACTTGTGTGCCAAGTTACACTGAAATCAGACCAAAACTGTAGAAGGAGTAGCGTTTTGAAAAAAAAGTTTACAGACAGACAGACGGACGGACACCTTACTATCGCATAAGCTCTTCTGGTCTTTGACCAGTAGAGCTAAAAACGCAGTAGAAACGTAGTATGATCGTCATAGCAGCGCGGTGAGATCTCCATTAACGCAGTGGGAGCTCCGTACACACACCGTGAAGACGCACATGATCGCAGCATGAATGCAGCGATAGTATACTGCGCTTCCACGGAGACCTCGCGGAGTCTTGTGATTTTTTTGACTGCGATTATACAGCCACAACAAGCAGTTGTCACTGCGATCATTGCACTCCCTTGGCGTTTCTACCGCGTCTATTGGCGATCACAATGCGCTTTCACTGCGTTGTTAGAGCGTTGTCAGCCAGCTCACAAAACAAAAGCAATGGCCTCATATTTGACCAGCAATAATTCTAACGTATTTGTTGCACTCCTGGCCAAGAGCATGTGAATAGAATTAGGAAAGAAAAATTACACCAGAACTTGTTCTGTTGTTTCAGTGGAGTTGCGGTGGAATAACTCAAATTTTATAACAACTTTTCAGTTTGTTTATTTTTTACATTTATAACAAAACCAAAGAAAAGATAAAAACACATCTGAATTGATATAATTGAAAAAAGAAGGATTTTAATAATTAAACTATAAATAATTTAGTACTAAATTTTTCAAATAGATCATTTTAATTAAAAAATATTCTTGGCATAAGTAGAAGTCTTTTTCGTCATGAGACTTGAATCTTTAAAAAAAATGTGTTACACTCCTTCTGAATATATATCCATAGTGAAGAACGCATCTTCACATTGTGAAAATTTTACAGAAATCTGTGCAACTTCCCTGCGATTCCACTGCGATTTTAAAAATCTAACAATGCCGTAATAACTCCGTGTGGACGCAGCTAGGTGTGACAGGGCCCTTACAGATCAAGTTTGCATTTCGTTCTGCTTCATTGATTTTTGAATTACGGCCTTTTCAATTTTTCCGGGTTTTCCGCAATTTTCTTCTAAACGCTTTCAGATATTGAGCTGATTTTTGGTATGTGACTTTACCTTGATTAGTTATAGATCAGATTTGCATTTTGTCCCGCCTCATTGATTTTTGACGGAATTATGGCATTATTTGGCAATTATATGGCAATAATTTTCAATTCTTAACGGGAACCAGATTACACTTGCCGGTAGGGGACTAGTATTGCTAATGCAATACTCTCAGAATGCTTGTTAGTCCCCTACCGGTAAAACCGGAGGGGACTAGAGGTTTTTTGGAGTTGTTTCACTAGCGCAAGAGGAGTCAACTGTTGCCGCTAAATGTACTCCACCTTCTTACCTAGGTATCTAGTTAAGCAAAAACAATAATT